CATGCAGTCCTTGAAACCCTGTCAAGTCTGCTTGCTCAAGACCATGATGGCACTTCTGTGTACCTCAATACTGCGAGTTTCACGATTTGCTGCCTGCTGAGTTCAACCATGAGAACGCCGACGCACCCCCAACAGGATTGGTCCTCGTCTTTGTGACCGTCTCAGTGCCTGCACCCGCTGCCTGCTGGTTCTCCTTTACACTGGATGATTTGCGGCTGAGCGAAGGTACTGTTTTCCGCTTCTCATCGCCTGCTCCGACGTCTAGTCCACTCCGTCTCTTGCCCTCGTCGAAGAACCTGGACTTGCCGTCTGCTGGGGACGGTGATGCCATCGAGCTTGATGCTGCCCTCGTCGTTGTTTTCATAGGTTTCAGCACTTTGATACCAGTGTCCCGGCGTTGATAGCCACTCATCTCTTGCTTCTTACCCGATCCAGACCAGTCAAATTGGGTGTTCTGGCTTGGCGTATCGCGTCGCCAATTGCTCCATATAGCCGGGCTGCTCTGTGCTGGGGTCGACTGCGTCGAGTCTGCCTCGGTCGTCTCATTATTACCCACACGTGCAGTTGACATACTAAGTGCAGGACGAGACGAGACTGTCGCTCGGTCCGATTCTGATCCTTCGATAGCTGTGTCGTTTTCGGACAATCTAGGGCTGGAGGCTCTGCTTTCTGCAGCAATGACTCCTGGCGGACGATACTTGCCTGAAGAAGGACTTGCTGCCGAGGTAGCCTTTGCAGTTTCCAAGACATCCTCTGACATTTGTCCCAGACCATTGAGGAGTGAATGATGCTGCACAGGAGTATCATCCAATTTATCAGAGGCGGCAACAGCAGGAAAAGATTCGCCACTGGTATACAAAGTGTTGAACGTGGCCTCGTTTTCTGGACGGACAAGAGGAATCGACAGCTTGCATTGATCGTCATCGTATAGAGTCATACTGTTCGAGGAGAACATAATGTCTGCGTTGTGTGTGCGTAGCACATCGCTTCCGATGAAGATCTGGATGGATCTGCTTTCACTTGGCTCAAGGCCATGATCGACAACATTAAACTCAACAGTCAGTGTTGGTACTTGAGGTGCAGGACTGCTCGACCTTGATGAGGTTGGATATGGTACAGCTTCTGCTAAGTAAACGGGAAGCTCGATGATTTTGCCGCCAGAGGCGCTGCTCAAGACGCGGTCTTCGAAGCCAAGCTTTCGCAAGAGACGAAGATGCACATGTGACTTGTGTGATGCTGAAGAAATGGCAGCGTATAGCAGGGAGTTGTGCTTGAAGTCTGTGTTCATCCAACATCTGATGATTGAGGGCACGGAACCGAGAATCAGCAAGCCCGGTGCCAGACTGGGGGTATCAATGGGAGACCGATTTGATTCGCCAAGGTTATAGGCAGTGTCCAGATTCAGACTACTAGCACGTCCCGAGGCGGCAGAGCGGACAGAGTGAACAGAGCTTGCGCGGCCATCGGATTTGTGAGAAGATGTGCGCTCATTCATGGCCAGGCCTCCCAGACTGCTGGCACTGCGCGGCATGAAGTCCAGGGATGAGCGAGAGGCGTGAGACCAGTGTCCTTGATTTGCAGACTCGTCGAAGCGCACACTGTTAGCCCTGGAAGTTGCGCCCATGCGTCTGGGCTCCTCGTCGGCGTCGAGATGCAGACTGCCTATCAAGTTGGTGGACTCGTCGTCAAAGTCCTTGAATTGCTCACTTGGGGGATGGTGAAGTGGAACTTGCTGAGGAGTGCCGCCGCTGAGGACGCTAGGAAAAGGCGAGGCGCCTCCCCAGACAGACTTCATCCTCGCGTCGTCGTCCTGACGGCGTTCGAGTCGTAGCAAGCGATCAGTGTGATCTGCCTGTACCTGCTGAATGCGCAGCAGCTCGTTGTGCATACGCCAAGAGTCGTTGTGTGGGACGAAGGCGACACTTTGCGGGTCCATTGCCAAAGGCCCGCATCCGGGTCACGGACTAGGGAGTCTTGCCGTGCAGGAATGCGATGCGTCGTACTGCTTGTGACTCTCTGGCAGGGATGTCCTGACGTTGCTCGCGCCGGCCTTGCCTCCTCGTCCCCCCGCCTCAACTCAACTCCAGATGGCACAGGCCGCGCCTAATGCTCCTTCGCTCTTTTTGTATTTATTTTGACTTGCTTCGTCCTTCCTATGTTTCCGTGGCGGCCGGGTGTGAGCGGGATAGACTACGTGATGGTAATGGCAGGAGGCGACAGCTTTGTGTCTCTCCAAATGCTATGGATAATGGTGAACAGTTCTGGGCGACTACGATTGATCTGCTGCTTGTGGATCAACCGTGTTGATGCTGAAACAGATGAGACAGGAAGACGCGGGTTTGGTTTCGATGCGTCTTCAAGGATGAGTCGCGGCCGGGGAACAGAAAGCAAGTGTGGAAGATGTACGAGTGGTGCCTGGTGGGTCGTCGTCTCACGGCTTGCTGTCACTTGTGCGAGATATGAGTGAAAGGCGGCGGGTTGTGGCGCTATAGAGAGTTGCCGAGTGATGGTGAAGATTGTATATAAGGTACCTTATGAGTAAGGTACCTCGTTCAATCCAGTGTCATTGAAATGTCAACGTCCATGCTTACCTTATGCACGTCCAACCCTTTCTCCGCAAATCCCGCCGGCTTTGAACTGGCCGCCTACCTTACCTTACATTTAGCGCTTCCTTGTCATCACCATGCACAGATGCGTCTTCACCTGCTGCCATACTTGCTTTATACATGATACGATCATCTATGACGGGAGTCTCACAGGTTGACAAGGTACATTTGACGTGTAGAATGGCCATGATTGGCAATCGTCTATATGCTCAACTCTGCTCCCTAAGGGGTATCTTAAAGAATGGAACGAAACCCAAGAAACGCCTATCCTGCTTCTTTGTGTGAAAGAATACTGTATTGTCGTGCAGTCATCGCCCATTGCCCATCCCTGCTCCATTCCGCCTGGCTGCTTCCTGCTGCTGCTGTTGCTCTCTCTTTGCCTTCTCGATTGATTCCGCTTCACGCCTCTTCCACTGCACGTTGATGGCTTTGGCGCTGTTCAGCAGGTCTTGTTCCGTGACCGCATCTTCAATACTCTCCAGGACGCTGTCGACAGTCTTGATGTGATTAGCCTCGGTCTTGTCGTCTCTGAATCGTGGCGCGCCGTCCGTCTCGCGTTTCATCCGCCAACGCTGTTGCTCGTCCTTGTAGCATTCAATGATGCTACCGTCTAGAATCCGCCCCATCCCCTTCATGCTCTCCCATTCGGACTCGGTGACGTGCAAAGGGGCGAAGAAGTCGTTCCTGTTGTTGCCGTGGTAAACCAGGAGTTCAAATGTGGGACAGGCATCAAAGTCCGGAAATCTCCCTTCATCATCTTCCACCATTGGAAAATCTCCGAGCTGCAAACGGAAGTCGATAGTGTTCTCGTGCGGCGGTTTCCATTTGATGATATGCTGATCCGTCCCTGTAACGTAGGGCGAGGTCCGGCATGTGAAGATGAGCCCGTCGTTTCCGTGCGGCAGTTTTGGAAGGACATCTTTAAACATCATCTCGATGCCGTACGCCTTCTCCATCTTTTTAGGCATTACGGTGAATGGCTGCTCTGCGACTTCCTCGGGGTATCTTTGGAGTATTGACTTATAAGGCTTCAGCACCGACTCCATAAAGTAACCCATTCTTTTGTCGAGAGTGCGTTGTAAAAGCGATTTTCCATTTAGTGCAAGGCAGTCGAATACCAAGTAAGTCTTTCGCTGCTCCCCATTTGGCAGATTGTCTATGACGAGCTCTCCATCGAGCAACGTCTCCGTGTGAAAGCTTTGATCAGGACCTTCGGGTAGAGGGAAATGGAAATGCGGAGTGTCGATGTTGTAGTAATCATTCTTGCGATCGATGAACATGTGCGCTTCGATGGTTTCCGGTCCCTCGGCAAAGAAAGTGAGGTAGAGCAGGCATCGTATACCGTCAGTCTTCTCACAGAGGTAATAGCTGTGAACATGTCAGTATGTGATGGAGCTTTCACATGACCGATCCTACTCTGTCATCTGTAAATCATGAAAGTGCTTCCGGCCAAAGCTCACCGGTTGCGCGCCTGGGAAGCTGATGTTCCTACGCTCGAGCAGGTCCGCCACACGCTGTCGGAAGAAGTCTGCATGTTCGTGAGGCAGTTTTTCCGCTACATCTGAGAGTTGTAGAAGCGCCATGGCGAGATGGTAAATATGTACAGTGGAACGCGACTGCTTAGTGGGCGACCAAAGTAGACGTGATCCGTCACGATCAGACGTGCCAGGGTCTAAGTATAAGGTACCTTACCTTATTTGCGGAGTTTCCCAGGTGGGGAAAGCGCCGACTGCCAAGAAATAAGCCGAAACGTACCTTGACAAGTACCTTCCCTTCTGTCTAACCATAACCCCTATCATCGACAACTCTTCATAATGAGAGACGGCTTACAATAGTAAGTTCGCATTTTGCATCTGGGAATCACTTCACTCCAATTACAGTCTGATTCATCATTCTTCACTGATCCCCAGGTCTCAATTTGATCCTATGTCAACCCCTGACCTTCTGGCCTTCAAGCCAGTGCTGCAACCCAACCATCGATCTACCATGAGTGTCTTGATAAGCGTTCTAGACCAGGCAGTGGTTGACCTGGTACAGGATGTCGATTTTTGGTCCACGTTTGCACCAACATGATCCATCCACCTGGCGGATACCAGCGTCATGTGGCTCTCCACACAGTAGCAACAATCGGGTCGATCGGGCTGTTGGTTATGGGTCCACCCTATACCTTAGGTCCAACCCACTTCATGTAAAGTATCCTCGAATCTCAGGTGCGTACGCCATCACGGAGGATACCCAACCGGTCAGGATTGTCTGTCTTCAGTTGCAAAGGTAGATGGGAAGTGCAGTTGGTTGCCAAATTAAGCACATGCTGCGCAAAGGGTACATATATCGTTAGGTGCGCCATTTCCTCATCTAGCAGTGCCAGTTCTGACACAGAACTTCCTTGACCTTGCCGGGGTAGCTCAATCGGTAGAGCGTGTGGCTCTTATGAAGAGACAACCTCAAGGTCGCGGGTTCGAGCCCCGCCTTCGGCTATTCCTAAATTCATGCTGCCTTTTTTTTTCCATTCCTTCTGTGCTCGAAGCACGGCCAAGCATGAGTCGACCAGAAAGTGATTTTGTGAGGTTTCATGTGACGACATTAGCGTCCGCTGTCATCCGAGCATCTGGAATCGATGGGACTTGTTTCCCTGGCATATGTATTTACTTGTACTCGTACATATCCACATGTGCTAGCGTGCTGGGCAGGTGAATCTCCTTTTTCGTTACAAATGACGGGCAAGAACTTCGCATCATCTCATACTTTTTTTTGCCCTGCTCGTCCGCCAGGAAGCCCATGTAATGTTATTTATGTCCTGTGTATCCAATTATGCTAGATTCCGGAGCGAAACGGAGAACATTTATAAACTAGCAAGGATCGAAGATACATCAGCTGCATCATGAATCTGCCAACAGTTCTCACTGGTGGCCTTTGCGCGTTCACCAAGAATTGGCAGGCATTGATCCAAGAATTTCGTCTCCAACTGGGCTTTGTTCATTGGGTACTGCATACTGCCAATCGCATGCTCGATGTGCCTCCGCAACTTTTGGCCATCGGCGAAAGTAACTTCGACAATCACCTCATCCGCGTTCAGTCCTTCCTCGGCCTGGGCCTTGACCTTGTCACGAATGGAGATAACGGCTGGATCCCTTACAATCTCATCGGCGTATTGTGCGGGTCCTGCCTTTCCATACAAAAGGCCAACAGCGCTGCCATGGAACACAGAGAACTTCCCTTCCAACCCATCCTTAGGTGTACGCTTTGAAGTAAGCTCTATGACCAATGGATGCACTTTCTCCTTGATGCTCTCGATGTCTTCGACCTTCTGGCCAGTGGATTGTATCTCATGATGAAGCTGGATGCATGCGTCAATTGCTGGGTGACAAACAATGCCGCAAGGGAATGGCTTGAAGGCATTTTGTTCGATCTCCCACGCGGTACCAAGCTCTGCTACGTAGCGGTCGAGTCGAGACTTACCACCTCCTGCTACAACATTAGCCCAACCCCGCTTCGCTTCAAGAGCTTGTGGACTGGAGGTGAAGCCTTGCTCTGCTAACAAAGCAGCGAGAAGTCCATTTTGTGCTGCACGGCCAGGATGGAAGGATTTCGTGTCGCTGCCAAACATCTCCCGCAGACCGGTGACTTGCACGCTTGCGATTCCTATCGCGTGAGCCATCGCCGTCTCTTCCAGTTCCATCAATTTTCCCACCGCTACTGCAGCACCTATGCTGCCTGTTGTGCTCGTGATGTGCCTTGTAACCGTTAGTCAAGAAAAGAAATAGCGGGCCAGGGGCCCAGAGCTTACCAGCCTATATCATAGTGATTCGGCCATACAGCAAGACCCAGTTTACAGCTAGCTTCAATTCCTGCAACAAGTGCGCAAAGCAATTCAGCTCCACTCACACCGCCCTTGTGCTCTGCATAGGCAAGAGCAGCACTAGCTACTGGTCCAGTTGGATGGATGATCGTTGCAAGGTGTGTATCATCGTAGTCATGTACGTGCGACGCAATACCATTTAACAAACAAGCATGTTGCGGGTCTGCACGAGAGCCATTGCCTCGCCCGAAAAGCGTGGCAGTGGATACACCAAATAAAGATGAGAGAGCTGTAAATGCTCTTGCAACCGTTGGATGATTGGAACCCCCTATCGCGCATCCAAGGTAGTTATAGAGGCTGTTGCTGGCGGCATGTTTGACAGAATCTGGAACCCCGGACTGCTTCAAATGCGACGCCCATGAGGCTAAATTTCTTGTAGCCATGATCGTCTTCTAGTGGGAGAGCTGCCACAACGCCGGTGTTCGAGCAGCTTGGCAGGCACGAGAAGGCTTAGATTGTCCTGATCTGTCAGGAACTTATTACCTCCATTCGAAGCCCTGAGGAGAAGGGGATAGCTCGGCCATGGGAATAGACCTACATCCCCGCATTAATGATGATGACGTACAGACAATATATGTTTAACCGCGCAGAGCCCCTCAGCTTTTAACGTCGATCAGGTACTATCGCTCTATGCAAACCGGTTGTGCCGTTATCAATCTCGACTTCACGGTGGTCAAAAATACCAATGGATCTGAAGCAGCGTTGTGGTTATGATGGCGTGTGACCACACGCGACTCCGCTCCCATTTGTTGAGGCCGAGCATGATTGGATCAGAGTGCCATAGTCCAGTCAACATCTAGCAATAGAAAGAGCGAGCTTTCGCTTTGCAGGAGCACGATCTGGCCAAGGCTTTCTGGACACAGTCATCGAGAACAATAGAATTTATGACAAGCCACGCACAAGGTCAGACAGTCGCACGCGTCTTTCGGAAACAACTGCTCAAAATAGCATACTTTGTGATGGACCTGGAGTTGAGCAAATTTCCCATGGGAGGCTGACGAAGAATGGTCCGGGATGAATACTTTTTTTGTGGAGAAACCCTGGGCAGGAGAACGAGACCGTTGATACGAGCAGCAAGGAGATTACCCATGGAAAGCGGGAAGCCAGATGATATCACATGGGTAACGAGTACTGTGGTACGCATCCACCGAGCAACCTTGATGCGTCACAAACTACCTTACTTGCGCGAGTCTCCGTGATTCAGACGTGACCATGACGAGTCAGCACACTTGTAACCGGTAACTCATATCACCTACCGCCTGCGAAAGCCGGGGCTCAGCTGACTAGTACATAATAACAAGTTGTTGGTGAGAGAGCGGCTGCACAATTCTATGCACCGTCGTTGCAGAGAAATTAGATTCACGAGCGCTGGTGAGAGTCAGGAGATGTGGAGTGCAAGAAAGGCTATCGATAAATAGGCTGGGCATGTCGGATGAAGCTGTGATGTGGAGGGGCCTCCGCACCACGCGCGGCAGAAGTGCGTGATCAGCGATCAGCGTCCGATTCGTGCAATCAATTGCTTTACACTCCACAGTGCTCTGTGATGCCTGAGCCACGTTAGCCCGACTAGTCATCAAAGTTCCACTTGGGCAATTTAGCATCTGATTATGCGTACTTCATAAACGTCCCACTCGCTTTTTTTTGCAGAAGGGGGGCAGAAGACATGAAATGGCGTCGGTAGAGAAACGGTTCCGTGCCTTTTTGGGGTCCATGCCAAAGATCCCTTGCTGATGACTTTGACTCTTTATCAGAGCGTCCCGAGGACAAAGAAAGAAGCCTTGCTTGATCTCAATCGTACGACAGACACATCAAAGAAGCAATACCTGTACTACTGCAGTACTGCCTACCTTTCATCACATTCGTTGCACGCTATTGGCGGTTCTTATCTCGGCAGGGCACAATCAGCCAGTATAGACGCTCGCTTTGACGCGGTAGTAGACGGGCCACACCGCTACATTTGCATAACAGGTATGCCATTGCAGGCTATTCAACCATCCTATCTTGCCCCTTGGTATCAGCATGTCTTGGTCATGCGGTGCGAAGACATTCAACCTGCAGTGGCTTCTCTTTGTCCCCATGTCTTCTGAAGCAAGTCAACGCGGCTTCATCTACTTCTTCCTATATATTTCCGTTCTCCGCCATTGTCTTTAGTGAGCGGATTACTGACGAGATTCAAGCAATCTATCTTCATCTGCCACCGCTATTTCCTTCCTCGATCTACACCAACGTATATTAAATCGCTCAATCGAATACGCTCTACAATGAGTCCTCCACAAAATGCTCGCACATCCTTGCACACGCGCCGAGCATTGCCTGCACACGCGCGAGCTGCCAAACCTCCGCCCTTGGTCAGCAAGAAAAGCTCTACTGGTCTACCCCCCAAGAAAAGCCCAACGACCAGAACGAATCCCTCGTGGAGCAAGAACATCGGCAACCGTGAAGTGGAAACTGATACAGAGGAAGACGATATGACTGGCCTGCCCCAATTCTGGTAAGCATTTACGAACTGATGATCTTGCTTTACCGACACTGTCCACTGACAGATGTCATCAACAGCGCTACGTGTGAGAAGCAAATAGTGACACCAGGAAACTCGGTACTCTATTGTTCGGAAAGGTCAGCTACGTGTCCCAGTTGTTCGGAATTTGCTTAACATCAATCAGCTGCCGCAAGAAGGATCACAATAAACCGCTCCACGAATCGGTAATACCGTCAGAACTGTCCCCGCTACCACCATCTCGCAGAGCTTCTGCATATTTCGGGGACGAAGATGCGTCACCTATGAGATCTCCTACCCTCGTTCGTCCACCATCCCTGGCCTTCTCGGACAGCTCGGAAACATCATCTTTATACGAGTCTAGGAGGGCGTCATACGCTCGTAACGAGAGTGAGACAGCACATTATCTGTCGCAATTCGACCACGTTGCAAGCTACGACTACGCTCGCCCTTCGACCTCGACCAGTGCTACTCCCTCATTGTCTCACACTCCAGTATCTGTTATAAGTGCATCAGGATCTTACCGTCCATTGCCGCGTCGAGGCGACCCTTTCAGTGCATCATTCAGCTCTTATTCTGTGGACTTAATCACCCCAGTCATTGACATGGATTCTTCAGCCATGCCTCACAATGTGCATTACCGAAAAGCATCTGTTGGGAGCACCGGTAGCACGAACACTGCCTTCCACATTACTGATGAGGACACAAGATACGAGAAGAGACCCTTTTCCCCTGATGATGCCATGAAACATGGAAGTTTGAGACAGCTCTTTTCTCATGACGCCATGCAGGCGCCGCCCAAACGACCCACTCAACTTACACAAGCTCCTGCTCATGTCGATGAACATAAAGAATCCAAGAGCGCCAATCTGTTATCGGTACCTTGAGCAAGGAGGGTCACAAATTAATCTTCTACTATGTGTTACTTTCAAACAAAAGTTTTTAACGCCTTATAATGAACAACAAGTCAAGGAAGGGGAGGGAAAGCTCGCAAGGGAAGCAGTGCTCTGCTCATGCGTATAGCTATGGAGTTTCGGAACGGTGTAGACTGGAAGATACTTAGAAAGTGTTACGATCTAGAACGGATCAACTACTGTATCAAGACGACCTGAAACTTTTCG